CCAGTCCTGTCTAGTTGTTTTACTGCCACAACCTATTTAGATATGAAAAGTGAAGTCTCAGTATGTGGAGATGCATAAAAGCAGAAACAGATGAGGAACAAACACTAGGGCCATTTTACCTCTCCGCCTTGAAGTGTTCCCTTGAACACTCTTCCAAATCCACCTTCTCCTATTAGGCATTCTTGTCGGAAGTTCTTTGTTGCACTGGCTAGCTCACGGAATGTGAAAGTCTTAGCGTTGCTATCCCCATTCTCAACGGGGCTAGCTAGGTCAACTTTGTTAGCATTTTCACATGGTGGTTTGTAGTTGTTATTTTCTGTGAAATGCAAGGAAAATGTAAACACAAGCCTGCAGATATGTTACGGAAATTAAACATGACATGCAGGTATTCCAGAACCATCACGCCCCGTAAGAAAAGGAACAAAAGCAATCACAACTAGCCAACTAAGGGGAGCCAAAGCAGCTGCCTTAGATGTTTATGGAGGCGGATTCAAGTAAGTATTGTGTGCGGCCTACTTATTACCATTTATTTATATGCTTATGTGACAGTGGGTGCAAACTTAGTACAAGTATACATATACATTTTCTGGAAATTTTCTAATATAAGAGGTAGATGGAGACCTAAGAAGTATTGGGTAGAGGTGATCAGGCAGGACATGGTTCGTCTGCAGATTTCCGAGGACATAGCCCTTGATAGGAAGGCCTTGAGGACTAGCATTAGAGTTGTAGGATAGGGGTAGTGGAGCTTTCCTTACTGCATGCCGGGGGTGAGGCGGGGTTGGATTAGGGTTGATCTTAGATGGTTTGCAGTTTATGTTGAACCCACACTATTCTTGTTGTTTATCTTAGATTCCTTAGACTCTGGTTACTGTTATTGCATGTCATTCATCTTTTGATTTTTATGCTTCTGTTACTATAATGGTTTTTACTGGAGTTACTAATGAATTCTCTTTTCTTTTCTTGTTTTCCTTGTTTTTCTTTATTTCCGTCGTTCTGAGTCGAGGGTCTATCGGAAACAGCCTCTCTGTCCTACCGGGGCAGGGGTAAGGTCTGCGTACACATTACCCTCCCCAGACCCCACCATGTGGGATTTTACTGGGTAGTTGTTGTTGTTGTTGTTGTTGTATACATAGAGGCCGCGTAGAAGGCAGAGCTTCCACTTACTTGGTGTTTCTGAAAACTAAGGAAAACAAACAAACATGGTGGCATTTTTCTTCTCTTGAATTCTAAGTCAGCTTATTCTTTTTATTGAATAAGGTATTAGTTCTGAACACCATTAGCATTCACTGTACGTTTCCATGCTGAGATTGTCTTAAAATACATAACTTAATTGACTTCCTACTTGAGTGTCAAGTTGTTTGCATATTCATAAGTGCCTTTCATTCTTGTACAAGATTCTTGACCTCTACAAATACATTCTTCTCGTAGAAATTAATTCAGACAAAAGAAAAGGGGCAGGTAAAATAAAGAGAAACACCAATGTATGTGCTAATAGGAGCTGGCAAAGAAACTATAAATTGGTCCATTTTTTAAAAACAAAGAACATACCAAAATGTGGTGGAGGGGATGGAGCATTTAGGGGGCGAGCGACCGGGAGGTCCTCCGGTGGCTCGTTGGTTTTCTTAGACTGAAAACAAGGGAGGCAACTCATATCATATCATTGATTCCTTATATAGAGCAAGGGAGGCCATATCTTCTTCACAAGATTAAAGAAAAAAAAAATTCACCTCTAGAATAAAATTAGCAAAATGTTAAAAGAAAATATGTCAAAACAAATATATTGATCCTTGTGTTTCACGAGTGGATTTTACATTTGAAGTTTAACATATGAAGGGTTGAAAAATTAATGTTGTGCATGAAATGGTCACATTGAGAAAAAATTAACGTAAAAATGGGAGAAGGAAGGAGGGTTTTCCAGGTTGAAAGATATTGAAGGAAAACAAATTATTAGGAATGGAGGAAAGGGACAAATCATTGGCTCAAGAATTTTCCTCAAGATTTCTCATCAGAGAAAAAAAGGGAGATTTGAATGGTTGTATATCTTGTAATCTAACACCTCTTTTCCTCCTCTCCCATTCTATCTAAGACAAATACTTGTAATGCACCATAACTTCTATGCACTTCATCTTTGTCCTGTTTCCTTTTTTTAAGTTTTTATCTTTTGATGCAATTTTGTGTGATTTAACTTATATATTTTGACAATGTATATAATCCTATATTATCAATATATTTTAACATGTTGTAGTTGGTAATCAGTCTTATTTATCAAGTTGTTCATTTCATTTTTTGGATGATTATATGTATTTACTTTTTAGATAACCTAATAAAGTAAAAAAATTCTTTCACACTATTAAAAGTAAAAAAATAAATAAAACATTGTTGCGTCCTCCTCGATCACCTTCTCCAAAAAGGTAAAAGAAAAGAAAAAAGAAAGAAAACTTTTTATCTCTTACTATAATAATGACAAGATAGAGTTGCTCAAGTGGTAAGCACTTTCCGCCTTCAACTTTTAGTTTGCGGGGAAAATTATTTTTTTATACAAGCATTCTAGCGATAGGAGTATTCGCACGGGGTAAATATTATTTTATACTAGCATTCTAGCTATAGGAGTATACACGTTGTATAACTCTTAGATTTAGTCCATCAAAACTCATGCTTCCTTAAATTTTCTACGTGCTTTATACCTTTATATTACCATTTGTAAAAGATTTATAAAGAAACGGATTAGTTAGTTAGTTATAAATTATATACTAGAAAGTGATGCTAGTCACAAAATAATGAAATTAAAGAAAGGAAATTCAGGCATTAGTTTCCATATAAATAAACTGAAGTATGTCATCAAGTACAAATGAATAAAACTTCCTCTTTATACGACATAATATACGATTCTAAAAACCTCAATGAGATTTTATCTATTTACAACATATGATACACAACTCTAAGAACCTAATAGACAACATAGTTGTAGTACTTTGTTACCATCTCAACTCAAAATAAAATATAGCAGAATTAAGCGGCAGCTATCTAGTGTTTCTAGATCACACAAGTTGAAAATGAATAGAATGGACATAAGCAGAAGAATTCACGCACATGACCATCCCAGAAAAGTAAGAAAAAGACTATTACTATGTATAGTTGGAATTGTATTTCAGGCAGACGGCAAGAATGAAATGGTGCTTCATTTTAATTTTGAATTCCATGACATGAAGGCAACCAACTATTTGAAAAGCACCATAATACCTATTTTAGTACTGAGACGTTACTAGCACTACGCCAATATAATACTAGAGATGAAGAACGCATGAAGATGTTCACAATTTTTTTGTTTTATTAATGGATAGAGTGTTCAAAAATCTCACTACTCGTATCCCCACAAGTGGGATATGGTAGTGTGTATGCAGACCTTATCCCTATCTTGTGCAACTCGTATCCACGATTGAGTACTTGAAATTTCAACATTCATCCAACCATGAGACGAAGAATTAAAAGAATCGGGCCAATCTACGTTTTGATTAGGGGGCATTCGTATCTATACCCGCTTTTTGTGTCACGTTTTAACTTGTGCCCGCTTTGCAAAAAAAAATAAATTACAAGTGTACCTGCTTTTTCCATAACTTCAGCATACGGGGCTGAAGTAGTAAATGCAATCACGCAAAACTTCAGCATTCTAGTAGACGGCCTGAAGTAGCAAGTGTGTTGAACCAAGTGTGCTGAAGTTTTTGTTTGTAATTGCTGAAGTTTTTGTTTTTGTAACTGGCGAAGTTTTTGTTTTGTAACTGGCGAAAGCTGAAGTTTTTGTTTTTGTAACTAGCGAACTTCAGCTCTGCTCTAGAACTGAAGCATCACAATTAACAGTGATTTTTTAAGAAAATAGCAGTAATTTGCTGAGCTTGGTGGTGATTGAAATGAAAGACAGAGAAAGACGTGCCTAAAAATGAGAAAGAGAATGCAGGTTTGGCTTCTCAATTTCCAAAAAATGAGAGCAGCGGCAGCTACTGGATAACTTTATTTCTTTTTAGTTACGACAACAAACTATGAAAAATTATTTTTTCTGAAATCTCTGCCAGCACTGCAAGAATGAGTGGAGAAGAGTAGGAAGTTGGATCAACTCATACTCAAAAGCAGAGGAAAAAGGCTAAAAGCATGATTTTGTTACCTTATAACTAAAGCAGCGTGGCTTCTGGAGATAAATACCAGTTTGTTTTGTAACTTGAAGAAGAAAACAAAGGAGGAGAAGGAGGAGGAGAAAGGGGGCTCAAGTTATTTAAAAATGGGTACAAGTTAAAAGTTTAAAAAAAATTAGGTATAAATTAAATGGGGGCGACCAAATATGGCGCTCCGTGCAATTTTTTTCTTCGATTAGCCGCAACACAAGTGAGCCTTTATTTCTATGGGCCACTTTTCTCCAAGTGTAGAGATAGGTACAATGGTGAATGGTCCAAACTCAAAATGTCGATATCTAATCAAGATCCAAATGCATAAAATGGTAGAACAGCTGTTAAAATAGCACGGGCTAGCCAGTTTTCGGACTGATCATTCAAAAATAGCCAGCATTTGCCAAGTCATTAGAAAATAGCCAATATTTTGCTTCAACAAAACCGATCCAGCATAATATACTGGAGTTCGGTGCACCTGTGCATGAACTTCTAGCATATTATGCTGGACTGATATACTCTGCTGGCTCCAGTATATTATACTGGAGTTCCAGTATACTTTGTTGGAACTCCAGTAAAATATACTAGAGTTCCAGCAACGTATACATATTGGAGTTCCAATATATTATATTGGAATTACAGTATATTATGCTGGAATATTTTCCGGATTTTGAGCAATATTTTGTTCAAATTTATCTTTACATAAAAAGTGACTAAATTTCAATGACTTTTGAAACTGTGGCTATTTTTGAATGACCACTTATAAATCTGGCTATTTTTTAATTTCTCCCGAAACAGCCCCGTTCGAGATCCAAATGCATACAATGGTAGAGAGCCATATTCGAGTTAAGACAAAATAATTGAAACAAATTATTACTGCCACAGAAGGGAAGCATTACAATAAAACATTAAAACCTATCATCATAAAACAAACAAAAATATAATAGACAGACACGAAAATTGTGCAATTTCTTCTATAATTATGGCCAAGACTTTAACCACGAGATCTTGCTAGGCGCTTGAACCCTCCTGGTCTTTAGTTCCTCTTTTTCTTGCTCTCATAATTTATTTAGAGGGGAAGTAGTTGGAACAGAGAAACAAACTTCCATAATTAAATAAATCATTTGCCCTCCTTAGGCCTGATATCAATCCCTTCAACAATTAAGCCACTTTTCCAGTTACCTCCCTTCAGCTCTGTCAAGCTCATCTCCAGTTCAGCTTCTTGCCCCCTCTTGACAAAGAATTCTCCCAATTCAATTTCCAACCACCCATCACTTCTCTGCTTCGGATAACGGCCTTCCGGTTCATAGGGTGTATCCACTTCGTGTCTCAATATGTGAGCCATGTGGTGGGTGAATATTCCTAAGCGTCTCGGGACTACTTGGTACCTGTGTCTCCGACCTCCCTGAGGATCCAAATAAACTGTCTGTGTTTCTCTTTCATGTCCGGTAATCCCTACTGAGCTCTCTGCAGGTTGGTTTCCAAATCCATAGGTCCTGGATTTTGTCGTGAAGACAAGGTAAGCGCCATATCTAGTGTCAGGTGAGAGCATATTGGTGTTAATTTTGCCAGAAAGGTCAAACCAGCAGACATCAAGAAGCTCAGCAACTTCTGAGAACCTATTTCCATATACATACACAAAATCAACTTCGAATGAAAAAATAATACTTTATCTCCTAAAAAGATCTCCAATCTTCTTAACAGTTAGAAATTAAAAGTGCTATAAGTTTGCTACTTAAATAGGAGTATCAAAAGTTACTTGTGATTTGAAATACCTGGACTCGGGAAGGGAAATCCATCTCCAATATCTAGGCGTGTCAGCCCAAACAATCTTAAGCGACCTTGCGGCTAACATGTAACATTTCTTTCCACTCCATTTCTCCAATGAGAAGCTCTGGTTTGTATCAACAGTAAGTCAGATGGATACTTAGCAAGTAAGTAACAAAGTTAAGGATAACATGGTGGGTCTAAGCAGAGAAAGCAAGAGTAAAATGAGCTACAATATCACGTGTGGACCAAAATTCAAAAGCAAAAAAGATCAAGTTGTAGCAGAAAAGAGAATGTCATTTCCATGATATTGTTATGTATTTAAGCTTTGATGGTGGAGCCACACTATCTACAGGTGGGGCAAACTGGTCCCATTACCTTTTTTTTTAAATTCCTTTGCTACTCAAAAGTCAAAAGACCAAAAAGACGGGGAAAAGGGGACAGGGCAGTGCTATAGTTTATGCAACCACCTAAATGGCAACAACATTTACAGCAGAAATTTTCAAAAGTTTGTGAGCGGGCATCACTATTTGAAAGCTACTAATTTGATATGCATGCAAAACAAAAGTACAAGTAACTATATAAACCTCAACTTTCACATAAAGTTGGCTGTCATGATGTGAAAACAGAAGTAATTGTTTCACACATATGAACAAATTATAGATAGAAGCATCAAGCCATTCTTTTATAAAGGATATATGCATGCAATCATCTGCCAGTCAAGTTAAAAAACTTCCAGTTGAGAAGAAATGGAGCAAGGGTCGAATATTTTCTAAAACAAAAAATGTATGACTTCACATGACACCATGCAGTATTATCCAAAGTAAAAGTACTAAGTATAAAAGGAGAAATCAATGCATAGGTGCAAAGTATAATATAGATTTAATATTACGCAACATGGATTATTTGCCTCTAATTTTCTAGATCTTTCCATATTCACTCTACTTCTTTACGTCATTATCTCTCAGTTGGCCAAATACTAATGAAATTTATCTCTCAACTACTAAATCCGGTTTCTTGAGCGACATGAAGGTCTTCTCTTCTATCAATTTGCATAAATTTTGCATTTGAAAGCCACTCAAACAACCTCGTAATTTGGAAAATCACAAGGTTATTGTTAATCTATGTTCTAGATTTCAGTGCAGATAAAAAGATTTGATGCTACCAATATTACACATGTTAATTTTTATAAAACAACTTAAAATAAACCTCTGGTACAAACTAGGGGAAGAGCTATTCTATTTTAAATGGAATGCAGTTATCTGATTTCTTCCATCAAAGTGGGTGTCAAAGCAAGGTATAGAATGCACTCTCTCCACACAAAAAAAGAAGAAGACAGAATCTGAATCCCAAGTCTCAAATCATATAATTCTTGGTGTGATACTGTGATTTGCACATTCATTCCTCAAATTTTCCAAATAAAATTTAGACACTACAAAATTTTACAAAATGTTTGAAAAAATCATCATCAAGAAAAGCAATTTGTAGGACTCCTTAAGTAGTAACAGTGCCATATAAAATGGGACACATTGAGTTATTTTTACTTTATTTTTCCTGTTACAGACTTCAGCTATCCACTCCCCAAAAAAAAATGCATTTTCTTGATCTTATTATCTAAATAGTGCATGCGTTTTCTTCGGGAGTTCTACTACGATATTTCCAATGTGACCGTAGCAACAATAAATTGGAAGAGTTTAAATTTGTGTAAAAAATAGTTACACGACAAGATCAGTTAAAAGGTAATTGCTGGTAGCTATGTTTCAAAAAATTGATTGATAACTAGAATAAATAGTAATGGTGTGAAAAATTCATCACACTTTCAATGCATATAACTTAATTTTTAATTTGAATACAATAAACGAAACAAATAAAAAAAAATAAAGTACTTATCATTTAGTAATTGAAAATTAATTACCTTGGTGCCACCGTCAATGAGGATAGGATGATCACAGAGGTGCAAGTAAAGCTCTTTCTTCGAACCGACCGCGAGTGAATCTGGACCGTCAATGGACCGGGAAATGATGTCACCATAATCCGGCGGCAAAAACCGTTCCCAAACGGCGTCGGATTCAGCAGCCGACCGGAAAGTTGAAGCCACGAGCGAAAGCCGGCACGCGTCCTTAGGACTCGTTAACGACAGCGCGTTAGCTAAGCAACCTTCCGGCAGTTCGTCGCCGCCGGCGAAAATTTCATAGCTCTCCACCGCCATTTGCTATATATATCTGTAAGTATATCTGTATGTCTGTATATATAAAGATTGTTGTCGGTATAGTTATTTGGATGACTGTTATGATAGAGAAGAGTATATCTATATCGGGTGAGTACGAATCTGAGCGGGGCGGAGAGACTCTATTTATAGGAGAGTTATGCTTAAAAGAAGAAACTTTTTTTTTTTTTTTTTTTTTGTTAAATTTCTCAATCGGTTGCATGATTTCCTTGCTAAGTAATCTAAAAGCTATTTCCTTTTTCGTTTTCTTTTTTTATGTATAATAAATGTATAAGGTTGCCTTATGTTTTCATATACACTTATGTCTTCATATTCATTGTATATCTTGTATCCTTATACTCTCTTCTTTTAATTTTATACCACACTATTGCAATATTTTTTCCTTTTTTTTTCTAATTCTAATTTTTCTAAATTATATATAGGGGTAAGGAAGGAAAAATAGAGAGGAAATTATAAGGCGGGGATCAAACTTTCACCAACAAGTTGAAAGTTCATATAAACAACCAATTGAGCTACTATTAAGTTTTCCTATTACAATATTATCATTTGTAGAGTCAAAAAAGTTTCCTATTTAACCATGACTTTTTTCTTGTATCTTTTAAATATTTTTTATGCAAAACATAACATTAAAAATATAATACTTTTAATGCTAAGAGCCTCTGATAGTATTTTTAAAAAAAAAAATTAAGAAATAGAAGTTCAAATTGACACTGAAAATTTAGAAACTTTATCTCTTGCATTTCAACCTCCCTCCCCCGAAATTATTCTTTTTGAAACGGAAGGATTAGCTCAGATTATTTTTTTCAAGTTTGCTTTTGTAATTGTAACTTTTTTGTGTTGCATGATATATTAAAATCATGTGATGACGGGTCATCACTTGTTTTAGAAATAAATTATGTGTTCTGAAGCCTTAAAACATCTTTCTGTCTTACCTCGATTTACGTGCGCAATCCGGACGCGTATCCAGAAAGCATTATGTGAAAAATATGTGAAAAATGATAAATTTTGCCTTTAAAATAAATTTAAGTTGACTTCGGTCAACATTTTGGATAAACGAACCCAGACCCGTAATTTGATGGTCCCGGAGGGTCTGTAGGAAAATATGGGACTTGGGCGTATGCCCGGAATCGAATTCCGAGGTCCCAAGCCCGAGAAATGAATTTTTAAAGAAAATTATTTTCTAGAATATATATGAGTTTTTGGAAATGAAATGTGTTTGGAATTTGATGGTACCGGACCCGTATTTTGGTTCCGGAGCCCAGTACAAGTCTTATATGTGATTTAAATTGAGCCTGTAAAATTTGGTAAGAAACGGAGGTCATATGACGTGATTCAGAATCTTAGTTGTAAAATTTGAAACTTTGAAAGTTCTTAAGATTTTCTTTGATTTTGATGCTAAATTCACAGTTGTTGATGTTATTTTGGTGATTTGATTGCACGAGCAAGTCCGTATAATGTTTTTAGGTTAGTGTGCATGTTTGGTTTGGAGCGCCGAGGGCTCGGGTGAGTTTTGGATAAGCCACGGAGTGGGATTGAACTTAGGAAGCAATAGGTTTTCAGCTAGTATGTTGCAGGTCTGCAGGATTCGCAATGCGAAACATTTATCGCAAATGCGAAGAAGACCTGGGCTGCCTTGGTCGCAAATGCGACCTGTTCATCGCAAATACGAAATGTCCATCGCAAATGTGAAGAGGATTGGAATCCTCAGGGTTCGCAAATGCGAACCCCTGTTCACAAATGCGAGATTAGCAGGTTCTGAAGGGTTCGCAATTATTGCGACATCTGCGACCTGCAAATTCATGACTTAGACGAAAATCTTTCATTTTTCAAACTCTTTCAAAACATAAACTCTCTTGGGCGATTTTTCAAGAAGAAAAGTTCTTCTCCAAATCGATTGTAAGTCATTTCTAACTCGTTTTCTTCAATCTTTAACATCTTTTCACATGATTTCAACTCAAAATTAAAGGTTTTCATGGGAGAAATTGGGTGTTTTGGGTAGAACCTAGGTTTTTCAAATTGTAGGGATTTGGACTTCGATTTGAGGTCCGATTTCAAAACAAATTATACATTTGGGTTCGTGGGGGAAGGAGTAATCGGGTTTTGGTTCGAACCTCGGGTTTTGACCATGTGGGCCCGGGGTCGATTTTTGACTTTTTGGGAAAAACTTTAGAAAATCTACTTTCATGCATTGGAATGGATTTATTTAGCATTTATTGATATAGTTAAGTAACTTGTGGCTAGATACGAGCGAATTGGTGGTGGAATCAAGAGGTAAAGCGATCATTGAGGCTTGAATTGTATTCGTGGCATCGAGGTAAGTATTTGGTCTAACCTTAGCTTGAGGGATTAGGAGTTGTGTCCTATTTTCTACGTGTTAATTATTGAGTACGACGTATAGGCATGGTGACGAGTATCTATACGTTGGTGTCAAGCATGCATGTGAGTCTTATATTATGATTAATGTGACTCCGTTCGTATTGTTCATGCTCTATGTGATGATTTCTATTGTTGAGCAAGGCTTATGGAAGTAATATTTGTATTTGAACATTAAAGAGCGTTGGGTCAAGTTGTAAAGTGATTTGTGGAAGTATAATTGGCAATTGAACCTTGGAGAGCATTGGCTCAAAATTGTGAATTGAGTTGTGAAGTAAATGTGAAAAAGAAAAGGGGATTATGAAATTGTCTCCCTTGCCGCGATGTTGTTGTTTAATGTTGTCTCCCTTGCCGGAATGTTATTGTTGATATTGTTTTCCCTGGCCGGGATATGACTGTTGTACTATTGTTCTCTTGCCGTAATTTAATTGTAAATTTGTTGATTTTCTTGCCCGTATTGCTTTGTGATTGTTGTTTGAGTGAGGAAGAGTCTTAAAGCACGAAGGGTGATGCCGTGCATTATTTTGGTAAGAGAGTGTTAAAGCACGAAGGGTGATGTCATGTATGATTTTGTGAGGAAGAGTGTAAAAGCACGAAGGAGGATGTCGTGCCGCACGATGTACAATTCCGTGCCGATTATATTGATTTTTATGGTGAGGACGGAAGTAAAAGCACGAAGGGTGATGCCGTGCAGATTATATTGATTCTTGTGGTGAGGACGAGAGTAAAAGCACGAAGGGTGATGCCGTGCACTTGTTTGACTTCTGATTCTTGTTGATAATTGAGCTATGATGTTCCTTATATTTACGTGATGTCCTTCTGATATCATTTGATGTTTCCCCGCAGCATATTCCCCCTCCCCTTCTTAACTGTACATTTCTACTTTTATTTTTCGTTGTATATGATTTAACTGCAAAGGTTTATTTGGTAGTTTGGTCCTAGCCTCGTCACTACTTCGTCGAGGTTAGGCTAGACACTTACCAGCACATATGGTCGGTTGTGCTGATACTACACTCTGCACTGTGTGCAGATCCCGGTGCAGCAGCTTTTGGACCTTAGCTTTGGGGTTGCTGCCTTCAGTCCATCCGGAGATCCGAGGTAGTCCTGCAGGCGACCGCAGGCCTTGGCGTCTCCTTCTATCCGTTTATTCTGTTTCTTTTATGTATTTCAGAGATAGTGTTGTAATGACTCTTTTTCGGACCTTTATTTGTAGTATTCCTAGATAGTCTGCCAAATTTTGACACCAGTGTTGGGTAATTTATGTATGGATTGGTATTGACATCTTTATTAATATATTACGTTTCAATCTTCCGCTTTTAAATTTTCGTTGTTTATAAAATGTTGGCTCTTAATTGTTAAAGGACTAAAAATTAGAAAAAGGTAAATAATTCAAATGGTTGGTTTGCCTAGCTTTCACTAGTAGGCGCTGTCACGACTCCTGAGGGTGGGAAATCCGGGTCGTGACAAATCACCTCCTATATTTTAATCCTTTTTCGTAATAAGTCTAAATTTATAAGTCTCGTGCTTTGATCTAGTGGTTATAAAGCACGCAACATGTGATGTTGAGTTAACTGTGTGACACCATTCGAATTTTACCCCAAAATAAATTGGCACTTAAGCGAGAAGGATAGAGGGACACATGTCCATTATCTGTCGAGTTTCAAATTGTATGCCATTTGTTCTCAGCGATTTTCTATTATATAAAAAGATTATGGATTTATTATGTTATTCAGAGAAGCCATTTCGTGACTTTAATTTTAAAGATCACCTTTCAATAAACTGCTGTGTCAATAGCAAAACGAAAACGTAAAATAAAACTAGGAAACATTTAGCTAACCACTTGAATGTTAAAGGTGGTTTTTCAATCAGATCTTTAATGTTTCAAAATCAAGTCAAGTTGTAGTTGCTATATACGAGTTATGTGAATTACCAGTTAGCATTTGCTCACAACACGATGAGATTTAATAGTCATTTCAAGAACACTATTATCTAGATTTTGGATGATACTTATATTCCTAGGTACACTGATCCGTCTCCTACAAAAATAAAAGAGAGGTATAGATATCCATTTGAAGGGTTTGAAAATTTTAACTTTAACTTCAAAGCAATAATGATTTTATTGCAGAACTAAATAGTGGGTCAATTTGGTCACCAGACTTTTTCACTATAGTAGAGTTACAGAACTAATTATTGTTACATTAAAGTAATCGAATTTTACTTACTATACAGTAAATTATATAATTATTTTTCTTCACATTAAAATAATTACAATTTACCTAGTATAATAGTAATGTCATTAAACATTACTCACTATAACAATAAGCTATACGAATAGACATATTTTTGTCGTTGTTGTTTACCCGTAAAATAACAACAACAACAACAACCCAGTAAAATCCCACAAATGGAGTCTGGAGAGGGTAGTGTGTACGCAAACCTTACCCCTACTCCGAAGGGGTAGAGAGTCTGTTTCCGAAAGACCATCGGCTCAAGATAATAAAAAGACAAAAGGAGAGAATATTAGATTCACCACGGAGATCATAGGGAAAAAGGAACATAAAATGCAGAAGAAAAATGCAAAGCAAAAACGATGGCTAGTAAATGGATCCTGTGTCGGAAATAGAAAATAGTAAGACACAACATTTCCCCTAGCTATCTTAGACAAAACCCCACCGGACTAGGCTCACAAAGGTACAAAGTAACGCAAGACTCAACTACCTCCTAGCCTACAACCGTAATACTTGACCTCCACAACTTCCTATCAAGTGTCATGTCTTCGGAAATCTGAA